GTTTGGGTGCGGGGACGGGCAGGCAGGCAGGCAGGAGGGGAGCAGGAGCAGGGGCAGGGTGAGAGGGGGGGAGGCGTGGTCTGGGGAGAGGACCGCGCTACGGCAACAGGTGCAGGCCTGGCAGGCCGCAGTCCGCCCTCATTCCAACACACACACACACGCAGCCACCACCACACCGCAGCTCACGCCAGCGCACCTTGATGTCTGTGGCCGACAGCGTGCTGGCGCCCTCCCCCTCCGCCCCCTGGTTCTCATACGACACATCAAACACGTTGTCGTCGTCTCGCAGCGCCGCCGCCTTGGCCTGCGCCGCCTTCTCGGCCAGCTTGCGCTCTCGGTCGTGTATCTTGCGGATCTCCTTGCCCGACTGCGGGAGCGCGGCGGCAGGGGGGCACGGGAGGGGGGAAGGGGAGGGAGAGGGGCGAGGGGTGAGGCATGCGGGTCGGCGGCGGGAGCGGCACCACACAGCCAGGCTGGCTGGCAGCGACCTGGCTGGCTGGCTGGCAGGGCCGCGCGCTGCACCTCCCACCCTTCCCATGCGGCCAGCCCGCCATCCAGCAAGCAAGCCACCAGCGCAGGCCGGGCCGGGCAAGACGCCCGCCCCGCCCTGCTGGCAGGCAGCGCCGCCCCGCCCCGCCAGGCCGCAACGCACCGCCTGCTGGATGTGCACCACCGCCTCCTCCTCCAGCATGCCCCGCCGCCGGTCCACCTCGCCATCCGACTCCGAGTCTGAGGAGGGCAGGTCCAGGCCCGCCAGGTAGTCATCGGCATCGCCCTTGGGCTCGGGAGGCCCCTTGCGCTTCGGCGGCGGCTTGGCAGGCTTGGCGGGGGCCGCGGCCGCGGCGGCGCCGTTGCTGGCGCCGCCCTTGTGCTTGACCGCGGCCGCCGCCGCCACCTTGTGGTCGGACAGCTTCTCCACGGCTCCCTTCTTCTCCTTCTTGTCGCCTGTTGGGAAGGCAGGAGCAGGCAGGGGCAGTGCACACGCGGTCGTTCCCGAATCCCCAGCCCACAACAGTGGGCACACGCCCTGTGGCCGCAGCAGCCTCGCGTGCAGCCGCCCCCTCCCCGCACAGGCTGCTCCCCTCACCCTTTTCCTTCTTTTCGCCTGCAGCAGGCAGACAGCAGGGCAGCCCAGCCGTCAGCAACCTGTTGGTCACCGCCGGGCACGCAGCCTTCCAGCCCAACCGACTGCTGCCTGCTCACCCTTGTCCTTCTTGTCGCCCTTGTCCTTCTTGTCCTTCACTTCCGACTTGTCCTTCTTCTCCTTCTTTTCCTGCAGGCAAAAGCAGCTCGCGTTCGCTGCACCGCCTGCCCACCCGCTCGCGCGGCGCCACCACCGCCACGGCATGGTGCCTGCAGCGCTCATGCGGCCGCATGCGCGCTGCGGGGACTGCTGTCGCCGTCGATGGGCGCTCACCTTGTCCGGCTTCTCCTTCTTGTCCTTGTCCTTGCTGCTGGACTTGGCCTTTTTGTCCTCTTGAGGCGCCATGCTGCCCGAAGCGCGCTTCGCAGCGTCCCCTATGTATCAAAGGCCTGTGAGACTATGCAGCAGCCGCTGGAGAGCCCGAAGAGAAGATAGCAACGCAGTCGATCACGCCCCTGGCGTCTGGGCAGCGGCTGGCAAGCGTGATGAGTGAACACTGACAGCAGTGAACGAATGCGAATGCCTTGGAGCCTATCGGGCAACTCGAAATGCTGCCTGGGTGCCTGCTGCCAGTGCTGGGCCCGCCTGGGACTGCATGCACGGCTTGCCTGCATCAGGGAGCGGTTCCTGGGCAGCGTGGGCATTTGAGGAGCGTCCTGCCGTGCCTATACACGCCTGCTGGGCATATTGCTATCGTCTTCCATAACCGCTGCACGCCGCCGAATTGCAGCCGCCGCACACAGCCATGGCTTCGGTACAGTGCCGCAGCGTGGCCCAGGCCAGCACACGCGCAATGCACGGTCCCAGCGCCTGTGCTGCGCGCCTGGGCGTGCCGGCACACCCCAGGGCCGTCAGGGCAGCAGCAGGTGCGCCAGGGGCGACGTAGGGCCCACGCTGGGTGGCAGGCACCGTGACGCATTGCGAGCAGCGGTGCCCGCAACAGCAGCGAGCCGCCGGGCGGCGAGCATGGGTCCTGCCGCCACCGCCTCGCTTCCTCCCAGCCCTCTGGGCCATCGCCCGCTTGCCACTGCCTGCAGGCAGCAACGGCAACGGCACCAGTAGCGCCACCGCGGGGATCAACCCACAGCTGGTGGAGGTGCTGCAGAATGTGGCCAACGGCGTGCTGACCGCGGGCGACGGCGCGGTGCAGCTGAGCGCGCTGGTGGGGCAGAGCCGGCTGAGCAGCGCCGACGCGGCCATGGTCACCAAGGCCGAGTTCCCGGAGGTGGTGTGGGGGGAGCACAAGAGCGCGGCGCAGGTGCTGGCCTCGCTGCAGCGCATCGCGGAGCGGCAGGGCATGGCGGCGGCCACGCGCGTGGGCTCGCGCGTGGCGGCCGAGGTCTGCGCCCTCGACGCCGCCGTCTCCTACGTCGAGCCCGCCCGCATGCTGGTCCTCAAGTCGGACACCACCAAGCAGCAGAAGCTGCCGGGCAGCGTGGCGCTCATCTGCGCGGGCACGGCCGACGTGGGGGTGGTGGAGGAGTGCCGCGTCATGCTGGCGGCCGCCGGCTGCTACGCCTTCAAGCTCGCAGAGTCGGGGGTGATGGGCATGCACCGCATCGTGCAGAACCTGGACGCCGTCAAGGCCGCGGACGTCGTCATCTGCATCACCGGCATGGATGGCGGCCTGGCCTCGGTGGTGGCGGGGCTGGTGGAGGTCCCCGTCATCGCGCTGCCCACCAGCACCGGTGCGCGCCTCCGCTGTGTGTGTCTATGTGTGTGCTGGTGTGTGGGGGTGGTGCGGCGTGGGGCAGGGGAAGGGAAAATGGGAGAGGCAGCGCTGGCGGCGCCGGGCCTGCCGCTGCTGATGTCTGCGTGCTCTCCCCGCTCCCGCCCTTGCCGCTCTGCAGGCTACGGCGCCGCCTTCAGCGGCGTGGCCCCCATGCTGGCCGCCCTCAACTCCTCTGCGCCCGGCGTGTGCGTGGTGAACATCGACAGCGGGTTTGGGGCGTCCATGGCCGCGTGGCGCATCCTCAAGAACGCCGCCCGCATCCGCCAGGCGCTCACCAAGGCGTAGGCGGCATTCAGACGTGGGTCGCCGCGTGGCGCAACACGCACAGGCCAGCCAGCCAGCCTGTGCCAGCCCCCGCCCTGCCTTTGCTCCTTCCCTGCTCCGCTGCCCTCCGCCCCTGCTGATATTCTTTCCGTCCGGGGGCGCGCCACCTGCCCAGAGCCCGCCCCGCTGTCGGTCAGGCGGCTCAGTTTTCAGGCGCCTCCCCGGGCTGATCGACCCTCTGTGGGCACTAGCGATGCGGGCATCCCGCCCGCGGGCTTGCCGCTGCGGCCCCGATTTTGCGTCAGGCCGTCATCTATATATCGCACCAGCCTCCCCCCTTTCATTGCTTGCGCTCTCGAGACAGTGATGGCGTGCGGCGCTGCCGCCGCCGCCATGAAGCCTACCCTTGCCCAGCCCCCTGCCTTCACAGAGCCGTTAAGTTGAACCGCTAAGTTGACGTGTACCAGTAGCGCCCATTTTGCTTCCCCCCAACCTGCACTCTTCCCCCCCTGCCCTCCTCGCCCCGCCCTTTTCCTTCCCCCCAACACTAGCCGCCCGCGCGCATCCCTTCACCCCCCTTCCCCTGCCTGCTTGTCTGCGCCCTTTTCCAGCCCTTTTGCCCGCACTAATTCTTTTTCCTTGCAGCAGATGATGGTGTGCACACACATTTTGTAAGCTCGCCGTAGTGCCGCCGCAGGCGTGGCATGTGAGCCGGGGCAGGGCGGGGCCGCGCCTCCTCCCCGCCGGTTGTGAGCCCGGCTGTGCAGCGGCGCAGCGCGGGCGGCCAGCGCTGCGCGCCCGCTAGCCGGTCGGTGCCAGGCGCCCGATGGCCGCCGCCACCGCCTGCTTGTGGCGGTGGGGCCGCTCCGCACCCATGCCGTCCTGCATCTGGGTGGACAGGCCAAGCAGCGCCTGCAGCGTGCGGGCCAGGCGCCGCGCGGCGCCGCCCCCGCCGCCCTTGGCGCACGCGCCCGCCACCTCCAACACATCCTCCTGCGCAGCCAGGCGGTGGGGAGTGGGCATGGATGGAGGGGGTGAAATGTATCGAGGCGGTGGGAGTGTTGCAGGCGTGGAAGGCAGGCCAGGCCCAGCAGCAGCATGGGGGCGCGCGGGCCAGCGGCGCCCCTCTGCTGGCACCCCCCGCTGATGTGGCGGCTCCGCGCGCACCTGGAGCGCCAGCAGGGCGGCGGGTGGCACCCACTCGGGCCCCAGCTCAGCCAGCTCCTCCTCCGCCACCTCTGGCGCCAGCGCCAGCTGGAAAGCAAGGGCGTACTGCGTGCCGCTGTACAGCCGCTCAGCCAGCTGCCAGGCATAGCCGCCCGGCGCCGCCGCCCCAGCGCCGCCAGCCGCCGCGCCAAACCAGCCCCTGCCCAGCCGCAGCTGCGCGCCGTCGCCGGCGGTGGCTGTGGCTGCGTCTGCACGCGCGGCGGCGCGCTCCGCGGGGCTGACAGGGGAGCAGCTGACTGGTTCCCGGCCGGGCGCGGCAGCAAACTCTATAAATGCGGCGGTGGCGGCGCGGAAGGCGGGCAGCGAGCGGGGCAGCATCAGGCGCCACTGCAGGCGGCGCGTGGCGGCGAGGGAGGCGGATGGATGCGTCAGCGCCAGGCCCAAAGGGGTCCCCCTCTGGCAGCCCCTCACCACCAACAACAAGAACGACACGCGCCTCGCCTCCAGCAGCTGCCACAGGGGCATGCAGCCACCTCCTCTCCTCTACACGGCAGCCAGGCGGCACCCCCAGCATGGCCCTACATCTACATACACACACATACACACACATACACATAAACACACAGCCCAGCCCAGCCCAGCCCACCTGCCCGGACAGGCGTGCCAGCCCGCAGAGGAAGAAGAGCGTGTACTTGGCCTCCTGAGCCATGGCCAGCGTCAGCGGCTGCTGCGCCCCCGCCGCCGGCGGCTGCGCGGCCAGCAGCAGCCGCGCCTCGGCCTCCACCGCCAGCCGCAGGGCAGCCTCTTCCACTGCACGCGACGCAGAGGGGGCAAGCGGCGGGGCAGGGGGGGTGAAAGGGGAGGGGGCTCCAAGCCAGATGGCGGCACCACCAGGCAAGGCAGGCACTGATGTCAGGTGCATCGCAGGAAGGCAGCACAGGCAGCACAGGCAGCGAAGGCATCCGCCGCCAACGGCTGCGGCAAAGCAACCCGGCGGGGCGGGCGGGCATGGGGGCAGGCAGCGCTCACCCGCCGCGTGGCCCGGCAGCGCCGCCAGCAGCATGGCCATGAGGGACAGCACGCAGCACCAGAGGCGGTGGGCGGGGTTGGGGGATCCGTCCTGCAGGTACGCGTTGCTGTAGTCCACCACGACGCCAGCTGGCGCCGAGCTGGCGCCGCCCGCGCCGCCCTCCGCGCCGCCTGCCGGCCCCGCCTGCGGCGTCTCGCCCATCAGGTTGCCGCCCTCTGCCGCCAGCAGCCACTTGCTGCAGGCAGCATGGGCAGCGACAGCCATGAAGTTGGACAAAACATTGGACAGGAAGGCCATAGGTGGGTCGGCGCTGGCCGGGCAATCCCACAGGCAGGCGTGCTTTCTTGTGGGCTTCCGAGCTACTGTCAGAACATCCCAGCCCCGCCACTCCCTCCTGCCCCCTGCCACCCGCCTCCAGACCGCCTCACCTCAGCGCCAGCGCATGCGTAACTGCCCCCTGCTCAACCAGGAGCTCCGCGCCGCTGCGCGCCTGCGCCACCTGCAGCGCCAGCAGCAGCGCCGCCTCTTCCACGCTGGCCGCCGCCAGAGGGCCCAGCCCCTCCTCGTGCTGCTGCGTCTGCTGCTCCCCCAGGCCGCCACCGCCGGCGGCACCACGCGTCGCCGGCAGCCCAGGCGCGGCGGGCGCGCCGCCGCCGGCCAGCGCCAGCGGCCGCGCGCCGCCGGCCTGCTGCGCCGCCGCCTGCCGCGCCGCCTGCTGCGCCGCGGTGTGCAGGCTGACCAGCATGCTGTGCAGCAGGTTGCCAAAGTGCAGCTGGAAGCGCACCAGCGGCAGCCAGGCGGCGGCAGGCACCAGCCTGTCGATGAGGCCGGCCGCCAGCGAGACCACGAGCACCAGGTGCGGCGGCTGGCGGTGGCAGGCCGCCAGCAGCAGCGGCAGCAGCCGGGTGGCTGCCGCCTGCAGCCGCTGCTGCGCCTCGCTGGGTGGCCCACAGGCCTCTGCCGCCGAGGGCGCCAGCGGCGCCAGCACCAGCGCCGTGGCCAGCAGGCTGCGCGTGACGGCGGCGGCGGCGGGCGGGGCGTCCGGGCTGGGGCTCAAGCTGCCCACATCCCGCCCCTCCAGCGCCTCCAGCCACTCCCTGCACCGCAGGCAGCGGCGGTGGCGTGGCGGCGTGGGGAGGCGGTGAGAGGCCGGCGGGGAGCACGGCACGAGCACAAGGCAGGGGCGGCGTAGCAGGGCACTCGCCAAGCCATGCGGTCGACCGTCGGCCCACCCTCCACGCGCTGCTGCTTACCCTGCGGCTTGCAGCACCCCCGTGCACAGCGCACAGGCCGGCTCCTGGCCGCCGCCCGCGGCAGCCCAGCGCTGCGCCAGCAGCAGCAGGATGTATGCAGCCTCTGCCGCGTTGAGCAGGTGCGCCCCCGTAGGGTCGACCGCCGCCGCCTCGGCCGCCGCCGCCGCCGCGGCGCCCGCGGCGTCGCCGGGCCCCGCCGCCACGTCTCTGAGCGCATCAGACAGCACACCCAGCGCCGCCTGCACAGCCTCAGCAGGCACCTTGCCGCCGCCGTCGGCGCTGGAGGCCGCACCGCCGCCGGACGAGGCGCCGCCGCCGGCCAGGCGGTGGTTGTGCGCGACCGACAGCAGCGCTTTGAGCGCTGTGATCGCCGCCAGCTTGGCATCCTCCAGCGAGGCCGCCACGCTGGCAGCTCCCAGCCAGGCTGCACAAGAGGCGGCACACGAGGCGCGGCGCGGCGGCGGCGGCGGGTCAAGGTCTGTGCAGCGGCGGGCACACCGCTGTGGCCGGCCGCACCCCAGCACCCTCCCCACTGGCACAGCCCTGCTGCCTCCCGCCACTGGCCACCTGCCTCACACACACACACCCCTCACCCGAACACACACACCCAACCCGCCACCCACCTGACAGCCCTTGCAACGCATCCAGCTGCTGCACCAGCACGGCCCCCAGGCGCTTCTGCAGCAGCTGGGCGTCGTACACAAAGGCGGCGCCCAGCTCCCGGTCCGCCGCCACTCGCTCCGGCACCTCAGCCTGCTGCATCACCAGGCGTGCTACAGCAGTTGCGGCGGGGCTGGCGGGGAAGCTGCGGGCCGCCAGCTGGGGCGCCTGCTCCGCCAGCACCCGAGCCGCCTCGGCGTTGGTGGCGAAGCGGCGCAGCAGGGGCGCGGCGGCGGCGGCCAGGCGCGGCGCCAGCGAGGCGCCGTCCCCCATGCTGCGCCACAGCGTGTCGTCGCTCAGTGCCGTGCCCAGCAGCTGCAGCCCGCCCGCCGCTGCCGCGCGCTGCGCCCGCAGCAGCAACGCGGCGGTGGGCTGCGGCGCGCCGTACCGCTGCAGCAGCTGCGGCAGCAGGTCGGCGGGCAGGCGGCGCAGGAAGGCCACCAGCTCAGCGGGCATGCCAGCTGGCGCTGAGCTGGCGCCGCTGGCCACCCACGTGTAGCACTCGGCCGCCACAATCTGCAGCGCGCAGCCTTCCGCCGACACGAGCGCCGCCGCGGGCTCCGCGGCCACCCAGGCGGCGGCGGCGCCGGCCTCGGCAGGCGGGGCTGGGGGCGGCGCCCGGCTGGCATCTTCCAGCAGGCCAGTCAGGTGGGCCCACAGGCCGGGCTGGCGCTGCAGCACCGCCACCGCGCGGAAGGCCGCCCCACTGGACTGCCAGAAGGCTGCCAGCACCTGAAGCAGCTTGGCCAGCGCCGCGGGCTGCTCCCGCTGCAGCCGCTCGCGCTGCTGCAGCAGGCCCCAGAGTGCGTCCAGGCAGCTGCGCGGCGGAGCCGCCGCCTCGCCGCCCGCAGCCTTGCCGCCGCCGCTGCCGGCGTCGCCCGGGGCGGGCAGCGCGGCCGTGGCGTTGCTGCTGGTGTTCTCCTGCAGGGCACAGCGACGGCGACGGCGGGGAGGTGGCGAGCTGTGAGCCGCACCAGCATAGAACCAGCTGACTGCAGCGCCCTTCATCCCTCCAGCGGCCGCAGCAATGCGCCCACCCCATCCTGCGGTTCACGCTGCCCTCCACCTTGCTTCCCCGGGCCCCACCAGCTGCCAACCAACCCACACCCGCCATCCGCCTCCCGCCCCGCACCTTGCCCAGCAGCGCCTGCTCCAGAGCGCAGGGGAAGAGCAGCGCATCCAGCAGGCTTGGGTGGCACTGCACCGCCGCCACCAGCGCGTCGCAGGCCGCGCCCAGCAGCGCCGGCTGCGCGGCGGCCGCCTGCGGCGAGAAGGCGCCGGCGATGGCGCTCCTCGCCGCCGACGCCACCCCCGCGTCGTCGCCGTCCTGGGGGAGCAGCACCGCAAACACGGCGCCCGGGGCCGCGGCCGCCGCAGCCACCGCCAGGCAGTGCATGCTGCGCAGGACCAGGGCTCGCTCGGCGGACCCAAAGTATGGGTAGCTGATGTACGAGAGCAGTACCGCCGCCGCGCTGGCATCCGCCTGCTCGCCGCCGGCGCCGGCGCCGGCGCCGGCGGCGGGGCAGGGGCGGAAGAAGGCGGCGGGGGCCAGGCGTGCCTCTGGCGTGCCAGCCGGCAGCAGCGTGGGCAGCAGGCGGTGCCACTCGATGCAGCAGTCCTCCACGGCGGCCACCTCCTCCTCGCCCCGCGCCTCCGCGCCCGTGCGCTGCAGCAGCCAGGGAGCGGGGCCGTGGGCGGGGCCGTGAGCCATGAGGGCGCTGGGGCGTGCAAGCATTGGCAAACATTCCTATGCCCCAAGACTAGGCCAGCCCTGCATCCGGGACAGCAGGGTCGAGCCCTGCAAGACCCGCCAGCCAGGCAAGCAAGCTGGACAGCGCCGGGCAGGCAGCCCTCTCACCTCTAGCTGCTGCGCGTGGTAGGGCAGCGCGGTGAGCAGGCAGGCGGCCAGGCCCACATCGTACCGCAGCACCGCCTCCACCGCAGCCGCGATGGCAGACCCGCCCTCGCCCGCGGCAGCGCCCTGCGCGGCGCCCGCCGCCGCCGCCGCCGCCGCTGCTGCGCTCGCCTCTGGGGCTGGCCCCGTGGCAGAGGGGCCCGACAGCAGGGCTTGGCGCACAAGGCGCAGGGAGAGGCCCGCCAGGCGCCAGCGCTCCGACCGCAGGCAGTACCGCCAGGACCGGTGCTCGGCCAGCACCCGGTGCAGTACCCACACCACCAGCGCCTGCAGCGCGGGGGCCGGAGCGGCGGCTGCAGGCAGACGGGCGGGATGGGGAGCAAGGCAGGGGCCCGGGGTCAGCGGCACCACAGCACGGCAGGATACTCGCAGCACAGCAAGCTGCAGGAAACCAAGCAAAGCAGATTGAAAAAATAACAAGCGTGGCCCGGCACGGCCTGCTTGCTTGCCTGAGACCAGCACGGTGAGCAGCCTCAGGAACGCGTGGGTGGCCGGGTAGCGGCCTCGAGCGCACTCCGCGCCCAGCAGGCGCCGCAGCAGCGGCACATCCGCGTCCTGCCCCGCCAGCCGGCCCGCGGCAGCGGCGCTCAGCGAGGCGCTGATGCCGCAGAGCGACAGAAGCTCGGCGGCCACCCGACCGGGGATGCCCTCAGCCAGGGCGGCACAGATGGTCAGGCAGTCAGCTGCAGGTCAGGGGCAGGGGTGAGCAGAGCGGGCAGGTTCCAGGTGAGACGGTCATCAGGCTGTGGGCCAGCACAGAAGGAGGGGCAGGCAAAGCAGAGTGGGCGGGTGGTCCAAGCGCAACGCGCGGCAGGCCGCCACCCGCGCTGGCTGCCCTGCGGCGCACCGATGACGGCGGTGGGCGGGTCGGCGAGCTGCGCCAGCATGGCGGCGGCCTGGCAGGCCAAGGTCAGCAGGTCTGGCCCACGCTGGCCGCCCTCCAGCGCCCCGGTGGGCACCTCCACATGCAGCAGCTCCATGGCTGTCTGCGGGTCGCGCCCACACAGGGTGGCCAGCAGCTGGAAAGCAGCTGCCAGCTCAGCCAGCGCGGCGGCCGTGTGCGCGGCGGCGGCGGCGGTGCCCGGCGACCCCGGAGGCTGCTGCTGCACCAGCGCCAGCGCCTCTGCAGACAGCGGCACGCGAGGCAGGGTGGTAAGCAGGCAGCGCACTCAGCCACGCCCTGCTGTGCTGCTGAAAGCTACCGGCATCGCTCCACTCGTCCGCCCCGTGCAGCCAGCCCGCACGCTGCACACCCCCAGCCTCGCATCCAGCCCTGCCCCAGCTCCGCGGCAGGCGCGTGCCCAGCCCCAGCCCCGCTCACCAGCCATCCTAGCCAGCAGTATCCACTGGCCCACGCCGTCGGGCAGCACCAGGCGCCACCGCACCAGGCTGACCGAATCAACGTCCTCGCCGGCAGGCACCGTCCACAGGCCGTCAGTGGAGGCGAGGCCCTCTGGCAGCGGCACCACCTCGCCCAGCACGCCCTGCACACACAGCCAGGCAGCAAGCCAGGCAGGCAGCCATACAGACAGCGATGAGAGCTCGGCTCAGGGCTCAGGCACAGCACATGGCAAGCCAAAGACGCAGCCGGCAGCCGGCGCGAGGTATGCAGCCCTCGCTCGAGCGCATGCCCCGGCCCCGGCCCCGCCCTACCTGAGGCAGCGTGAGGGCGCGCGCGCCTGGCAGAGGCATGGCCTCCCGCGCAAACACATCCTGCTCCTCGTTACATCCCTCCTTGATGGCCGCATCGGGCAGCACGTGCAGGCACACCAGGCCCGACAGCTGCGCCAGGTAGGCGTTGGCGGAGGCGGCTGCAGAGGCATGGGGCAGGGGGGTGGCAGCGGGGAGGGTGTCGTGCGCCCACTCCCAGCTCCGGCAACTTCCGCACGCGGCAAGCATGGCATGACGGGGAGCATGGAGCCAGGCAGGGAGTGTGGGAAGCGAGCCAGAGGTTCCAGTGGTGAGAGGCGAGTGGGGTGCGCGAAGAACCCACCAGAGTCGGGTGTGCTGCTGAGGGCGGCGAGCAGGGTGTAGAGGGGTGCGGGCAGGGCGGGGTAGAGCGAGCGGAGGTCATCCAAGAAGTGGCGCAGCGGCTCGTCTGCAGGGGTGGCGGCAGCGGCAGGGTTCAGGACGGGTAGGAGGGGCAACCGAGGGCAGGCGGGGTGAAACGGCAGGGCGGGAGGCGTGCCAAGCGACAGCAATGTGCGGCCAGGTGTCCAGCCCATCGTGATGACGAATGCCTGCCGGCCCTCGCCCCACCTGTGAGCCGGTCGCCGGCCCAGAAGCTCTCGCATAGCACGGGCTGGTCCCTGCACGGCACAGCAAGCAGGGACGATGCTGTGGCGGGGTCCGCAATGCACCACAGGCCATGCATCCACCCCATGCTCTGTGCCAGAGCCTCCAGGGGACAAAGGGCAGCACAGAACCATGCAGGCCTGCCCCACCCTCTCGACTGCATGCGCCGGCCACCCACCTGAACAGATTGGCCAGCGTGGCAACCACCTGCTCCGCCTGGGGCAGCGGCAGCGCTGCGGGGCTGAAGTTGAACGCGCAGAAGGCAGCGGCCATGGTGCTGCAGGCATGGCAGGCATGGCACGGCAGTGGGGCTGGGAGGTGGGATCACAGGCGGTGATGGGAGGCGAAGGGGCACACCCGGCTGCCACCTGTGCGCAGGGTACTGAGCGTCGGGACTGTGCGCTTGCCGGCATGCAAAGCCAAGGCATGCGGAGGCAGCGACCGAAGCTGGGTCTGGCCCCATTCCCCCAGCCAACGGCACCACCACCACCAACGACACCCCATCGCCACCTCAGCACAATGTTGTTGAACATCTCGGCGGCGCTGGGCTGCAGGCCGACGTGGCAGGTGAGCTGGCGCAGCGTGCCCAGCGCATCCGTCTCGTACGCCTTGGCCGCGTGCGCCGCATGCTCCTGGCTGGCCCTGTTGTGGCCGCCGCCGTCTGCAGGGATGCAGGCGGAGGAAACGGCGGTGGGGGAGGGCAGTCGGGGGCAAGGCACGGGCGGGGCTGGGTGTGCGTGTGGCAGGGCGCCATGATGTGTCCTCCTTTGCCCGTCTGCCCAGCCTGCCAGCCCCACCCACCTGCGCTCTTGGCCGCCAGGCACAGCACCGCTGCCCAGGCCAGCAGCACGGGAGAGTGCGCGGCGGCGGCGGAGGGCCACCAGCTGGCCAGCTCAGCGTTCACTCGCTCCCTGACAGCCGGCGCGGCAAACACGTACGCCGTCTCGTCCAGCGGCTGCTGGCTGGCCAGCGCAGCCAGCGCCTTGTCCACATCCAGCATCTCCAGCAGGAGCAGCGTGGCCTGCACAGCAGGCACAGCAGGCACAGCAGGCGGACCCGGCATGGCTGCTTGCGGCGCGGTCGAGAGTGGCGGAGCTCCAGGGGGAGTGGATGCGCGGAAGCACAGCATGCACAGCATGCAACATGGCTGGTGCCATGGCTCTGCCTGGCTCACGAGGAAAGCGAAGAGCCAGCCAGTGTCTCACCAGCTTGATGGACAGCTGAGCTGGCGACAGCTCGCCGGCGGCGGCGCCGGCAGCCAGCGCGCCGCCGCCGGCCGCGCGGGGCAGCGGGGTGCGTGTGAAGAGGCGGGCGTGGAAGAGTTTGGCCAGAGAGAGGAAGCGGTCTGGGGTGCACTGCTTGCGCGGGTGGTAGTAAATGAGGATGAGGATGTGCAGCAGCGAGCAGCGCTCCACCGCAGCCGCGTTCGCCTTGGCGTCAGCCACCGCCGCGGCCACCGCCCCCGCGCTGCCGCCGCCGGCCCCTCCAAAGGCCGCGATGGCGACGGGCGCGAGCGCGGCGGAGGCGGCGGCGGCGGCGGCGGGGCCTCCCACAAGCGCTGCCGCCTCCAGGTTGGCCCGCAGCGCCTGGAAGGTGGCATCCTCCAGGTTGGCGCCCAGCAGGCTGGACAGGGTGCCTTCAATCACATCCAGCAGCGGGCCGCCCTCAGCGCCTGCAGGCAGGCAGGCCCGGGGAGGCGGGGACGGGCGGGGCCGGCACTGGCGGCTACATGGCTGGGAAACAGCACAAGCTGCGGCACCGGTGGCCACATAGCACTCCCAGGCAGTCATGGGCAGGCCAGGAGCAAGGCGCAGCAGGCGAGTGGAAAGCGACAGGTGGCACGTCAGCAGGCACCCTGGGCCCGGCAGCCTGCAGCCAGCCGCCCGGCAGCACTCACGCTCTCCCTCCCACAGCAGGCTCTCTATCGACTTGAGCAGGTAGAGGCGCTCCGCGTAGTACAGCTGTACCACCTCCACGCGCTGATCTGGCGACAGGCTGGCGCCGCCGCCGCCCGCCGCCGCCGCGCCGGCCGGCAGCACCGCCTGCGGCCCCGCCTTGGCCACCCAGCGGCGCAGCAGGATGTAGGCCTGCACCTCGTCCAGCTGGAGGGTGGCGGAGATGTCGGCGGCGGCGCCGCGCAGGCCCCCCTCCACCGGCAGCTTCTTGGCGCCGATGGCGAGCGAGGGCTCGCCCTCCAGCGCCCGCCGGGTGGCCTCGCTGGGCGGCTGGAAGCCGGCGGTGCCCTTGGCCAGCCACGGCTCGTACTCTGCAGGCGGGGGCAGGCGGGGGCAGGCGGGGTGCGCATGGTGTGAGCGTGACGCGCACCGTCCGTCGATGCGCATGCCTGCCACCCCCGCAGCCATCACAAGGCGCCAGCCAGCCAGCCCGCCAACTGCCAGCAGCCAACCGCCAGACAGGCGCGGCGTCAGGCAGCGGAGGCCGAGACGAGGCGACACAGAGCGGCACCCGCCGCCCCCCGCACCCACCTGCCAGCGTGGCCTTGAGCGCATCTGCCGTCACCGCGCTGGGCTCCAGCTTCAACATCTCCAGCTGGGTGTACAGCTTCTGGAAAGGCGGCCACCACAAGGCCTGCGCATCAAACGGCATCGCGGCCCCCCGGCTGCCGCGCTGGCAGGTGCTGGCTTCAAGGGCGTTCTGGCTGCCCGGCGTCTGCGCTGCTGGCTCCGCTAGTAGCGCGTGGCGACTCTATAGCCCTTAGGGTGCCCTGCATTGTGAAGCAGCGGCAGGGCAGCAGGGGTGAGAGGGCGGGCAGGCGGCAAAGTATGGCGGCGGGTGGCAGGGAGGTGGCGTCGCTGGGCGCAGTGCCCTCCTGCTTATCCAAGCATGGTTGTAAGCCTCTTTCACCGTACACCCCATCCCAGGCCAGCAAGAGCACGAGCTGGGCGTGAGGCATTGAAAGGGGGCTGGCTCGCCGAGCCGGCTAGCCTGCGCTCTCACCTCATAGATCAGTGGACGGCCTCTGTCAATGCGACAGGAGTCCGCGACAGGAAGGCCTCAGCTGAATTGATCACCGAGAGTGCAGGAAACACGGCCTGAGACCCCTGTCGAGCTATTCCGACATGCTGGCTGAACGATGGCCCGCTCCCACTGCCTGCAGAAGCAGCCATCAGCCTCTAGAGCTACAGCACCTTTCTTTAGAGGAAAAGCCGATTGAGGCCTCCAACGCCGCTGCATTGAGCACTGGCAACGTCCACATGCCCTTCCATAGGCCTTGAAGGTCCATGCGGGCGCTGCCACTGCTTTGCTTGGGGCCCACCCCACGGCCAGCCCCTGGCTGCTGGCGACATTGTCTGCAAGTGCCACACATTGCAGCAAACTACCAGCGCTTCGTGGCAAGAGCTGCAGCTACAGGTGCTGTCGGAGACCTTTGCGCCCATCCAACAGCCCATTCTGCTTCTCACGCGCGTAATTGTGTCGCTGCAGAGACCTCGGGGGAGTGGGTGCGCCTGTCGTCGACAGATGACCCAACAGCGGCAGGCGGCGCCGCCGCCGGCGAGCCGCTCCAGCTAGACGACGCGACGCTCGTGGCAAGCAGCGAGCTGCAAGAGCTGGCGCGGCAGCAACTCCAGCTGCTGGCCGTCTCGCTGCAGCTCAGCCTGCAGGCCGTGCTTTCCTCCAGCATCAGCATCGACGACTCCAGCATCGACGAGGAGGCGCTGCGGCAGCAGCTGCTGGCAGACAGCACGTGCCTGCGGTCGACAGTCTACTGCCGCGCCCCCGCCAGCCTGCAGACGGGCCAGCTGCAGCTGCAGCTGGTGGCAGCCTTGGGCGGCGGCAGCCAGGACCTGCAGCAGCAGCAGCAGCAGCAGCAGCAGCGCTTCCTCTTCCTGGGACACCAGGGCGTGCCGGGAAGCAGCCTGGCGGAGCAGGAGCAGTGGATCCTGGAGCAGCCCGTTATTGTACTGCCCGACTCAGGGGGACTCGTACTGCCGCTGTCCCACAACGGCTTCCTGGTCGGCCTGCTCGTCGTGGAGCGGTGCCTAGAGGAGGAGGAGGAGCAGCAGCAGCAGCCTGCCGCAGCTGCAGGCGGGGCTGCGGCTGGCGCCGGCATGCCGCCGCCCACCACCTGCCTGCTGCTGCGGTCGGCGGAGCTGCAGCTTCTCAAGCAGACGGCGGCGGTGCTGGCGCTGGCGTGCGCGATGGACCTGCGGGCGGCGATGGAGCGTGTGGGCGCAGCCTACCGCCAGCGCCAGGCCTCCGCGCTGGTCCAAGCGGTGAGGCTCGCAGCGCTGGCGCCGGCTGGCACCAACAGCCTGCATCTCCCGGTCACGTCACTCAGCAGCCTGGCAGCAGCATGTGTGGGTGGCCTGCTGCCCGCCCGCTGCTGCTGCGCGCCTCGTGATGTGCCTGCCCGGTTCGCCGCCCGCCCGCTGCGCAGGCCAAGAAGCCGCTGAGCGTGATGCGCACGCTGGGAACCATGCTGCTGCCGCGGCTGCAGCCGGGGGAGCCGGACCGAGACTTTGCGCAGGGTGGGTGGGCCCTGCTACTAGTGCTGTGCCGTGCTGGCTGATGCGTGCCGTGCTGACGCCGTGCTGCGCTGCGCTGCGTCGCCCTGCAGCGCTGTTCTGCACAAGTGAGCTGCGAGTGTGGTGGTGGTGGAGAGTGTGGTGGTGGTGGAGTGTGAGTTCGGCTGCTGCCGCCACGTGCGCTGCTGCAGGCATTCTGGAGCAGGGCAGCCGCCTGCAGGAGGTGGTGTCTCAGCTGCAGGCAGCCCTACACCCCTCGGCGGCGGCGGCGATCATGCCCCCGGCGCTGCTGCAAGCAGGCACCATGAACGGCAAGCGGCAGCGGAAGGCGCTGCCGCGCGGCAGCGGCGGTCGCGGCAGCCTGAGCGGCGTCAGCGGCGGTGGCGGCAGCAGCCTGGGCCAGTGGCAGCTGGCGGAGCCTGCCCAGGGGCGGCCCGCGCTGCCCAGCAGCAGCATAGGCGGCGACTACCAGCGGGGGTCCACTATCGATCTGAGTGTGGATGAGCCATCCGCCACAGCATCGCCCTCGGTCCCACGGTCGTCAAACGACAGCAGTAGCAGCAGCAGCAGCGGCGGCGGCAGCAGCAGCAGCAGCAACAGCAGCAGCCAGAGCAGCGCCGCTGGGGCCGCCAGCAGCAGCCGCAACGGCAGCAACGGCAGCAGCGGGCGCGACGGCGGCGGCATGGCGGGCAGCGCCAGCAGGGCCTCTGCCGACCTTCTCAACGTGCTGATGCCGCTGCTGGCCTCTGCCAGCAACTTTGCGGCAGTCAGCGGCGTCAGCTTTGTGATGGCGGAGCACGGCAGCGGCGCGGCGGCGGCGCGAGCCGGCCCACGCGCCGGCGCCGGCCCCAGCCCGGACCCCCAGCAGCAGCTGGTGCTGCCGGCGGCTGAGGTGGCAGTAGGCCCTGGCAGCCTCAAGCGCATGCTGAGCCAGCTAGTGGACGGCGTGCTTGCCTGCGCCACACGCGGCGACCTGGTGCAGGCATGCGTGCAGCTGCAGCCTTGGGAGGGGCGGCCCGGCGTGGCCATCACGCTCTGCTGCTGCTACGGACTGGCGCACGGCGGCGGCGCCGCGGGGGCCAGCCAGGGCGGCGGCGGCAGCGCGGCGGTGGCCAGCCTGTCGCGCCCTCCTATGCAGCCCGAGTTTGCGTTCCTGCAGAGCACCGCCAGCGAGGCGGGCGGCTTCTTCGAGGTCCACTCCGACGCCACCCCAGACGTGCAGCACCTGAACAGCAGCGCCCTCATGGCCTGCCTCTGGCTGCCCACCGTCAGCTGCGACGCTGGCTGGAACTGACGGCAAACGGCTCTGCCACCTTTGGGCCCTAGGCCCGCTTCATGTGTACAACCCCCACCCTCGCTCATGCTCTCCTCCCTCATTTCTCCGCTCTGCTCCCTGTCGCTCCTCCTCTGCCCCGGCGCCATTGTGCCCGCTGCTCTGCTCTCAGCACTGCCACCACTCTCTACTCTCTCTGCAAGCAGTTTTGTGACACGCCTCGTGCAAGAATGCAGCCGGGCAATCTTGCAGCTGGGAGTTACAGCAGCACTGCCGATGCAGTATGGGGAGGCGGGGAGGTAGTCACGGCATGGTCAACCATGCGCAGGCAGGTACAGGCAGCTGGGCAGCGTGCTCTTCACACCACTGCGTATGCTAGCTGCTGCTTCACAAAGAGGAAAACATAACAAAGGGCACACAAGCGTAGCGAGGGGATAAGCCGACATGCATCCTCGCCTTGCCAGATGCGGGATGCGTATGGAAATGGTGTGTGCCGATGAAAGTAGCAAAGTCTCGAGTAAAAAACGGCAGGCGGTCGTGGCAAAGACCCTGGCAAAACGGTCCTGGCAAAAAGCACAAGGCACCAACACAAGTCACGATAAAGTCGGGCAACAGAGTAGACAACAGAGTAGACAACAGAGTAGCTATTGAGAGGCATGGAGGCGCAGCACTAGATCAAATGATTGTTTTGGTGGATCCGCGCTGCCGGGTGCAGAACCGCTACAGGCGGTAGCGCCAGGTACTTGATCCCAGCCAGGAGCGCGCCTCAGGCTTTGCAGCTGGCCTTGAGCACCAGGAAGGGCGGGCTGCCGCTGTCCCCCGCCCTGAACCTCAGCCCGTCGATGCGGTCCTTGTTGAGGGCCGGAATCATGAGCGCCAGCTGCAGCCGCTCCTTACTGCCCGCATACTTGGCAATCTTGTCGGGAGACAGCTTCAGCTCCAGGTACTGCATCCTGTCGGCCTTGGTCTTGAAGCGCGTGCCCTTGAAGCTGCCAGAGCCCAGCTGCACAGCGCAGCGGTTGGCAGGCAGGCCGGTTGGCAGGCACAGCGGATGACGCGCGGCCCGGCGGCGAAACACCCACACACACCAAAACTGCCCTGCTGGCAGGCAGGCATCGCACGCCGCCAGGCAACACATGCTGCAGCTCCACGCTGCAGAAAGGAAGGGAGCAGGCGTTGCCGCACCTTGATGGCGCCGGGGCACACGGGCGGCATGCAGGGCGCGCCGGTGGAGTGCTTCTTGGCGCCGTCGTACACCTCCACCGTGAACTTCTGGGAGGACTTGGCTGTCTCGTCAAAGGCGCTGGAGACGAGCATGAAGAGGGATCCAAAGGTGAGCTGGGCCTTGGGGGAGAGGAAGGAGAGGTCAAAGGACTCCAGGACAAAGGAGGTGCGGGGGATGCCCCACGGCCACGAGTGCTGCAGGCTGGACGCGTCGTCCACCTTCTTCCCCTTCGCCAGCTCCGTCGCGGTGAAGTAGCCTTGGCTCTCCTGCGCGCCAGGTGGCGCAGAGAAGCAGGCAGGCGACACGCGCAGCTCAGCGGCAGGGGCGCTGATGGCGGCCGGCAGCAGGGGCAAGCTGGGGCAAGAGCAGGCGCGGCGCGGCCCCGGGAACCCAACTCCGCACACCAGGGCCGGCTGCCGGCCTCACCGTGTCCACAAAGGTCGCGAATGGAACTTTGGGCTTCTTGGGGCAGGGCGGGACAACTTCGATGTAGGTGCTCAGGGTGGCTGCAGTCGCGAGCGCAGCAGGGTGGCAGTATGCGCCTTCAGGCAAGGGGAGCAACCTGGCAGCCACGGCCCACCAGCAAGCAGCTGAGCTGCTGGCTCACCATGACATGTAGGGCAGGCCGGCAAGAGGCAGGGTGGGGGATCCTGGCAGTGCCATGCCAGCCGCCTGCTCACCTGACTGCACCCCATTTTTCCTGTTTGGGTTGTGCTTGCTCTTTCTCGGTGCATTTGCCTTCAATTGCGTGTCCACCGTTTTGCCTTGCAGAGTGAACCGATGCCAGCCTGGCGACAGCCCGAGTGTCTTCAGGTTCAGCTTCATGATCTGGCCATCATGCTCTTTCTTGTTGTAGAGCATGCCAGCCTTCTCCGCCACCACCTTGCCCTTGTTACCCTGCACAGCCAGGCCCACGCACAGTGGTGAGTGTGAGGAGCAGCCACACGCACATGGGCCAGGTCCTCCACGCCTACATGAGAGCACGCACACCTGGCTCCCGCTGCTCGCTGCTCGCTCGGCTGGCAGCAATGCACCCAGAGGGACGGCTAACCCATGATGATGCACAGGGCTGCCCGGCTGCTGCCCAGCTGGCGCCTTGCCTTGAGCAGGTCGTCGTCAAAGGTGATGAGGTAGCGAGACACTTCGTACCCGGGGGTCCTGGAATTGGGCGGCTCCCGGATGCGGGAGGCCTTCAGCTTCAGGCGCCAGTTGCCGCCGATGGGGATGAGCAGGATGGGGCTCATTGCAACCTGCAGATGGCGGGGCGCCGGCAGGGCAGCACGTAAGAAGGCGCGAGTGTGCAGCAGCCAGCCGGGCAGGGGAGCGACCGGCTGGGCCGCCAGGCCAGCAGGCGGGTGCCGACCAGCGCTTCGCCAAGGCCTTGCCGCCCACACCGGGCCGCAATATGGCCGCCACCTGCGCGCGCCGCCTCGCTCACCACAGTGAACTGTGTGTCGTCCGACCAGCTCTTCATCTCCAGGGTGGTCTGCTGCTCCAGGCTCCAGCCGCAGTAGGGCGCCTTGCACGCCTTGCCCGGCTCGTCCTCCAGCGAGACGGGCATGAAGCCCAGGATCTGCAGGGTACGCTCCTTTGCAGCCGGAGGATCGATGAACCCGAATGGCCAGTCATCCCTCCACTGGTGGTAGTTGGCCAGCACCTGCGCGCAGCGACGCAGGGAAGGGTGGTTTGCGGCGAGCAAGCCTTGAGCCCGTATTGATAGAAGCGCCATTACATGCCAACACAGCGGGCCTACGCACCTCGTACATCACGCTGCCGCTGGCGGGCACAATCGCCCTTCCGCCAACCACTTTGGTCATGTCGTACGGCACATCCTCCACCCACGTGCAGTCGAGGTTGGGGTACAGGAGGTTGCCAGAGGGCCGGCGGGTGTCGATGGCGGTGACGGTGCCGCCCAAGTCGGTGCAGCTGCAGCCAGCCAGGCAGTGGGTTGGATAGCATGTGATCCCAGCAGGTGTACAAGCATGAGGAAGGCAGGCAGGCTCGACAGTGCCAGACGGAGCAGGCGGGCCCGCACTTTTTGGGGCTCATGGCGAGGCGGAAGATGTCGTTCTTGCAGCCCACAGGCCCGTAGGACAAACCCGCGTCCTGCCAGGGCAAGAGGAGCGAGAGTTCGACTTTTTGCAATCGAGAGTGCGGCAGGGAATGGCAGTGGCGATTCAAAAAACAGCTGCCGCCCAGCGACACGCGGACGCATGCGACTGCACCTCACCAGCAGGTTCTTCTTCTTGCACGCGGGATTGATCTGGATGCCCGTGATAAACTTCAAATCGGGGCGGTACAGCCGCAGCGACAGGTCAATGAGGGCAGTCGGGTTGTTATGCTGCACGGGGATGTGTGGGTGTGTGGGAAAGGGGTTGGGAGCAGGGGGAACGAAAATTAGCCGCACTGCAACGCCTGCCGCACCTGAACAGCGCTCAGCTTGAGCTTCCCCTTCCGCGGAATGATTTGATTGTAGGGGAAGCACGATTCAATGATGCTGCGCCCCGTCTCCCTCACTTTCCCCGTCTTCAAGTCATCCTGCCACCAGTATTGCCAGCTGCGAGGGGGCAGAAGCGCGGCAGCGGCGGCGTGGGCGGACGGACACCTTTGCAGCCTCCAGTATCTGCTGCTCTATGACCGATCTCGGACGACATGTTTTTGGTGTGATGCAAACAGCAGGGTGTAGGCTTCTGGACCCCATCGGGACCGCGGCCCCGTTCTGTTGAGCCCACCTGGCGAACAATGGCGTGGCTCCACCACACCTCTTAGGGTGTGGCGAGAAGGAAGAGTAGGTCAGGAAGATGGGCTTGGCTTGGAGCTTGGCCTCCGCATGGCCCCCAAGCAGCGCCAGCAGGAGCGCCAGCGCCAGCAGCGCTCGCACCCAGACGCCCATGGCGCCCTTGTTGACAGCGGGCGGGGGGTGGGGGAGCGAGTGACACAGCGGGGGAGAGTTGAGAAGGGCGCCCAGCGCGAAGGAGGACCTTGCGCCAGACTCAATTCAGTAACAGAAGCAACGACGGAGTAAATTGGGCCATGTGTTGGAAGTGCAAGAGTGCGTGCCGGAACTACCGCCTTGCATGTGGAAGCTGCCGCGCCCGCCACACAGCGCGAGTGCAGGACTGGGCCCCCCTCCTACTCAATCAGAGGATGTTACTGCCTCCTACATGACAGGCTGCCTCAGCTCAATTTGCTCCCAAGCGCCTCATCTGCGGCCGTCGATTCGCCGCCCGCTGCGGTCTCGGCCCCCGTCTCGCCTCCTGGCTCCTCGCCCCCAGCCTGCTGCTGCGGCTGCTCCCTGTTGAGCCGCCGCACAAAGTCCAGCATCTCCCGCTCCAGCTGCGACTCGCTGAGCGGCACGCTGCAGCGCCCGCCATACGCAGCCGGCAGCTGCTCGGCGGGCACCCACTGCAGCAGCGCCTCTGCCGACTCGGCGCGCTGCTTCTTGGTGAACTGCAGGGGCAGGTAGAGGAGGGGTGAGGACGGTGTAGTTGGGGGTTGGCCTGCCTGCCCGCCAGAGGGCGCGCTGGGCAGCCCAGGCTCCTTCCCACGCGCTGCAGCCAGCGTCGCGGCGGGCACCGTGAATGGGGGCTCACCAGCTGTAGCTGCTCCCGCGTGCGCCGCGGGATGACAGCCGCCAAGACCTTCCAAATCACGCCGCTCCAGGCGGGGGCGTTCAACAAAAAGGCCTGCAGGTGGCCGATGGGTGGCAGCAGCACAGCAAGCGGCAGGGTTAGGCCAGGGCAGGCGGCGGCCGGCGCAGCCGGGTAAGGATGGCAGGGCCGATCCACTCAACGGCAGCAGGCGCCTTGCTGGAGCTGCCGCATTTTTGTGCAGCTGCACAGCCACGCACCTGATGCAGGCGCTGCGGGAAGGAGACAGCCAGCAGGGAGCCTCCCACTTGCAGGTACCTGCAGGCAGGTGGCGGCGCGCAGGCGGCGGCGGGTGATGGCTCCGGGCGCACAGGCGTCCGCCGCAAGGGACTGGACAGAAACGGTGGGCGCTCTCTAGATCTCCCCACAGGCCAATACCCACCACTTGAATGCGGCGCTGGACACATCCCGCAGGGTCAGCCCCTCCAGGTCGATGATTTTGACTGCAGGGGGGCGCGCAAAGGTGTGGGCAATGAGCAGGCAGGGCAGGGGAGTCAAGCGGGAGCAGCGGCACGAGCAGCGGCGCCCCCTCAGCTGTGTGTGGGCTGGCGGGGGCTGCGGAGGAGGAGGACTGGGCGCCCCCCGCCACAAACCCAACCCCTGCAAATCATCGGCTGTGCTGCCTGCCTGCCTTTTCTGTTTTGATGGCCCCATGCACCCCACCCGCCCACGCAGCCCGGCCCAGCCGCTCGCCACCCAGCTAGGCCGGCCACCCACCCGTCTTGCCCTGCGGCAGCGGGCGCGTGTCCAGCTGCCTGAAGGCGTACTCCATGCAGAAGAACTGGTGGCGCAGCAGCTCGCGCTCCGTCACGCCTGCGGCGCGCGGGTGCATGGCGGGCGGGCAGGCGCCGGGGCGGTATCAGGACCGAATCCGTGTGAAGCAAGAGATTCCCTTCTGGAACGGGCGATGGGGCGGGCAGCCAGATAGTCCAGGGCAGGCAGCTGGTGGGATAGGAGGGAGGCAGGGAGGCAGGCAGGCAGGCGAGCGCCGCACCCTTGGCCCGCAGCGCGTCAAACGCCGCGCGCCACCGCCCCGTGCACTCCACCTCCAGCACGCAGTCTGTGCTGCGGCTCCAGCAGTAGAACACCTGCGCACAGGGGGCGGCCACGCGGCATGCCGTCACAAAGCACCGCACCGTCGGCAGTGGGTGGGGGCCGGGCCGGCACAGGCTGCGCCGTGCCTGCCTCCCGACAGAGGTGCTACCCCCCACGCATCTCCACCCCCGACCCTCTGATCCTGCAACCGCCAGCCACCAACCATGCACCCAACCACCAGCCACCCCTTAGCTGACCTGAGGGTAGTGCTGCCTGATGATCTCAAACCGAGGCTGCGGCTGGTGCACCAGGTCCGCCACGCCCTGCGCCTCCACTGCGCAGCCAGGAGGGCGGCAAAGGGAGCATCAGCACCAGCATCAGCACACCTGGCCCATCTCCGCAGGCGCGGCTGCTCCCAGGGCGGGCGCGGCGCGGCCGCCGGCTGCCGGCTCACCCCATGTCACCATGTTTTTGAGGCCCTGGTACGCCTTGTCGCCGTGGCCCAAGCCCACCAAGAACCGCGCAGCAATGTCGTCGTTCAGTATGCCCGGGTGCTCATCCACAAGCCGCCTGCGCAGTGCAGGGTGTGAGGGTGGCGGGAGCGGGGGTGGTTGGTGATGGTACCGCAGGGTGGCAGCACAGCAGCAAGTGGCAGGGCGGATGGAGGTAGGTGGGAAAGGGCCACCCGGCGCGCTCGGGGCAGGGCGCAAGCACGGCAGGCGCCTGCTCAGGGCCACGCAGCTGCCGACAGGCACGCCCGGGCAGCGACAGCGCCCGCCGCACCGTATGGCGGGAGGTAGCTCCAGCGCGCTGCCGTCCAGGGGCAGCCTGGCGCTGGGCGGCGCAGACATGGCCGAGTCGGAGACGACGCGCTGCAGGGTGGGGGCCCCCGCCGCGCCGTGGTTCCTCGACTCCAGGACCAGGTCCGCGTGGAGCAGCACCAGGCGCCACCAGCCCGCGGGCAGCGCAGCCTGCACCCAGGCAGGCGCCCAGGCAGGCAGGCAGGCAGCAGGCAGGCAGCAGGCAGCACAGTTGGGGGGCTGAGCGGCGGGAGCGACACGATGCTTCAGGCGCCTCCATGCGGCAGCGGCGCGAAGCGAGCCTCAGGCGGCGCCCGTCCCCGCCGCTCGCTCACCCCTGGCTGCGCCGCCAGCTGCTGCGGCGGCGGCCGGCCTTTGAGCTGCAGCACCACGATGGCCGCCAGCGCTGCCAGGCAGCTGACCAGGAAGGCCACAGACTGGAGCACTCGGATGGCGGGCGCGCCCGTGTCGGCCAGCAGCTGCAGCCAGGCGGCCAGCAGCGGCACGGCAAGCACCGCCAGCATGGCGGGCAGGGAGCCGCCGCCGCCGCTCGCTGCGACGGCGCCGCCGGCGGTGCCGGCTCCGGTGGGCGGCTGCGGCGCCCCCAAGCTGGAGCGGCCTGCGGGGGCCGGGCGCCGCGTGGCCGTGAACTGCAGGATGACTTCCAGCCTGTCCCTGCCTGCGGCGCCTGGGGGCGCGGCCGCCGCGTCCTGCACGCTGTGGTCGCTGCCGTGCAGCGTGGCCACCACACACACCGGCGCGCCGCCCTCCGCCGCCGACTGCCGCAGCTGCTCCTCGCTGATGGTCGCCACGGCGGGGCCCAGCGGCGAGTGCAGCCAGATGTTGATGGCCAGGCAGGCGGCGGGGGCAGCGGCGCCGCCGCCGCCTCCAGCACCGGGCGCCGCCGCCGGCCAGGGGACGTCCAACGGCTGCTGCAGCTGCGGGAAGGGGCAGATGATCTGCTGCTGCCCCGCATCCAGACCCAGCGCCTGTGCCGGCGCCCCGTGCGCCTCCTGCCCTGCGCTGCGCTTGCCACCCTCCTCGCCACCTGGCGCCTCTGCCACCGTGGCGGTGACCAGCGTCACCACCGGCCTGCTGTCCAGGGGCAGGTCCTGCGCCAGCCACTGCACCGCCTGCCCCAGCCGCGCAATGGCGTCCTCGATCGCCTGGTGCAGCCGCGCCGCATCCTGCAGCCAGGCAGGCAAGGCATGCAGGCAGGCAGATGGGCAGGCAGAGCGTTCAGCGGCAGCCCCAGCATAGCCAGGCGAGCGGCTGCCTTTCCGCCGCTGCGCTGCAGGCAAGCCGAGGCGCGGCCCCCCTTGGCGCCGCGTCTGCTCGCCTCCTCCCCTCCTTCTCCCCTCCGCTCCCTCCCTCCCCTCCCTCCGCCCCCACGCCCACCACGCGCCTGCGGCGTGTCTGCCTCCAGCACCACCGAGGACACAAAGGGGTCGCGGTAGTGGCGGTGCATGAAGCGGCGCACGGAGAAGTTGCGGTGCTTCCAGCCCTCTACAGGGTACACCACCGGGAAGGCCATGGCCTGTGCCGGGGCAGGCGGGGCGGCAGCACGGCGGTCAGCAGCAGCGCGGGGCGAGGGCTGGCAAGTGGAGGGCTGGGAGCAGGAGCGGGGCGCGGCCTGCACACGCCCTGGCTTGTTAAGCAAGGAGGCGCGGCGGGCGCACGGCCGCCTGCCCGCCACACCAGCCAGACCCTCACCACCAGCCAGGGCCCCCCACCCCTTCCCACGCTGCCGCCCCTCCCAGAACAGCAGCATCACCTTCATCACTGACTTCCAGTCATCGTTGGCCTCAGTGCTGCGGTGCGGCCGCTGCCGGCAGAACAGGATCTGCGGGCGGGCAGGCGGGCGGGGGCGGCAGGGGCAGCGGGAATGCCGCATGGATGCATGGCCGTGCGCAGACAGGCACAGCAGGCAGGCCAGGCATCGTGCAGCGCACACTCGGGCAGCGACGCAGCAAGCAAGCAGCAGCAGAGCAGCCGCGCACTGCCACCCCGCCAGCCGGTGCCTCCCCGCCCCCTCCCCGCACCTTGATGTGCCGCCCCTCCTGGATCTCTACGCCCGCAATCTGGCTGAGCGCTATGCTAAAGGTCATGAACTGACCCTCCTCCAGCTCCTCGCCCAGCCACTGGGCCGAGGAGTCCTCTGCCCCAGCTGGTGCATCGCGGGGCGTGCCCTCCCCCGCCGGCTGCCCGCTGTGCGCCAGCTTGTGCAGCAGCGCCAGCGGCCGCACCGCGGGTCGCCGCGGCGGGCGGTCCGCCGGCTTCAGGGACACCTGCTGCAGCAGCGTGGACACCGCGGGCGGGCTGTCCGGGGCGTCGCTGGCGGTGACCAGCTGCAGCGTGTCTGGCGACAGCAGGAAGAGGAAGGGCCGCTCGTTGGCGGCGGGTGCGTGCGGCGGGTGCCGATCCAGGTACTCCTCACGCCTGTAGGACACCAGCCGCACCACGCTGGTGCGGAAGGGAGGCATGGCTCAGGCTGGCTGGCTCGCCCACTGCTCTATGAGGCTGCTGGGGGTCCAGGTCGAGGGCTGCCCAGACGGCGGCGGCGGCGGTGGCTGGCCTAAGCGGGGGTCGTCCCCAGGCCCTTGCGGCCGCTGGCCTCGCCCGTAGCGGGCGTCGGAGCACTGTGTGGGGCTCGATGCGAGCTGACGGCCTCTGGTCAGAAAGCCGGGGCAAGCAAGACCAAGACGAGGGGAGGGCGTTATCTAAAGACGATGCAGCTCAGAAATCTCCAAACGCCATCACCGGCCGGCAACAGATCTGTTTGTGGCATGGGCGGCGCTGAGGTGGCGGCGGTGCCGGTGCCGGCGGCAGCGACAGGTGATCTCAAACCGTGAGCAGAGCCCTGTTTGGCCAAACCACACCCAGGCTCTCTCAGGTGATCAATTACTATTCATGGCTGCCGCAGTTTACACAGCTTCATGTGGTTTGTGCAAGGCTGCGGCAGGGCGGCGGCAGCTGGTTCCAACCCAACTTCACTTCTCATCCCGTGCATTTCCGTCTACATTTCTCTCCGACACAATGTAACACCACACCAATCCGCTCTCCGGCAATGCGTTTGCAGTCACAGACACGCAGCAATTCACTGCTGGCACCCTGCTGGAAGAGGCCCGCACAACTCCTCGAAACCGGCTGCTTCCGCTCCACTCGCTCAATTCGCAACCCCTCTCCAATCGAGCAACTGTTGCAAGCAACACAAACACAGGTATGTGCTACTGTGGGGGTGGTAGACGTAAGCTTGGCTTGCACGTCGGCTGTTCTTTCTCGGTTCTCCCTTGCAGCCGCACCAGCCCCCTCGAACCTTACACTCCCCGATGCATCGCTCCACAAACGGGGCTGCCGGCAGAGCTGTCAACCAGCTTGCGTGGTCACCCATCACTGGCATTGCCATGCCTGTTCAGCAGGATGGCAAACCTCACAGCTGTCTCGCCGC